CAGCTCCGAGTAAGTGAACGGCCTCCTCCCGGACCTGCCGCACACAGCTTCCTTTGGCAGTGCCCTTTCCCAGCAAGTACCCATTGCAAATGACTTCTTGGTTAGGGATGGACCCTGTGTCCACTCCCCCTTCTCTGTCCCGGGATGTTGTCTGGTTTGAGCTTGTGCAGAGGCTGTGCCCCGTGTCACAGCCTCCGTGAGTTCACCTGTGTGCCAGCCCTGTTGTGTCTGGATGACAGTTTTCCTCGGGGTCACCCACCAGCTTCGGCTCCTACGATCTTTCCACCTCCTCTTCCTCACTCACAGCCCTGTGCCTTGCGGGGAGGGGGCTGATAAAGACGTCCTATTTAGGGCTGAGTGCTCCAAAGATGCATGCTTTCTGGAGGTACGGTGCACAGCAGCCAGCAACAGCAGCCTCGGCAGACGGGCAGCATATTGGGGATTGGGAGACAAGAGGTGGCTGGAGAGAAACACGTGGTGCTGGCTGCTGCACCGGAAGCGAATGTGTATATTTTATTCTCAGGCCCAGGGGCCATCATAAAGTTATCAGATCACACCTGATGATGTCGAATGGCTTGAGGAACAAGGAAGAGAGGATGTGGGGAGACCCAAGAGAAGAAGGGCTTCCTTCCCACACCCGTACTGTCAGGTTTGGATGCCAGGCTGGAAGGCATGTGGGCCAAGTGGAAGTGTCCGGCTGGCCGCAAAGGAAGCTGGCAGTGTTGACAGTGAAGGAGGGGTGCGGAGGGAGGAGAAGGATAGCTGCTCTTTCGGGTGAGGGTGGGGGCATGGTGGTGCCATTCTTCACTCAGCATGCCCTGGAAGGAGCCAGGTGTGGCCGTGCAGAGTTGTGCCTTGGCCACAAAGAGACAGGAAAGGAGCTGTGTGCAGGCTAGCAGGAGGCGGGTTCCAGTGGACAGAGTCCAGCTGGAGAGAGGACTGGGAATCCTTGGGAGCTTCAGGTTTGTGGCAGGATAAGGTCACCAAGCAGGGAGGGAGGGATGGAGAAAAGAGAGAACCAAAGACCCAGCACCATGCACTCTACCTACCCCAAGGCATCTGTGAAAATGGGGACAGGCTAGGGCTCCCAGGAGAAGCAGGGATTTTCCCACAGGTGACCTGTCTGCTACTCTGCTCACCCTCCCTCTCAGGAAGGACTTTGTTCTGGTTTAGTTGGGTTTGGGTGGCCGCTGAGAACATCAGAGCTTTGGGCCATCCGCATGCTGTTGGGTTTCATCCAGAGACCAGGCAGGATTCCCACCCACAGCCCCAGTGAGAGGGATGGGCCCTGCTTCCATTTATAGCTGAGATGCTACAAGCACCAGGAGTCAGGAGGGGAAACTCCAGACTGTGGCTGTTTCCAGACTGTAGAACCTCGGACTGGCTCAACCTTGGCTCAACCCCTTGGCTCCCCCAGAGCAGTCACAGACCACACCGTGGGGATCCCCCCACACCAGCGTTCAAAGCCCTATCAGAATTCCAAGATATCCAGGGCTCAGCTTCAAAGTGATTTCCCTTTAAGAGGCAGCCTCTAGCTTTGTGGAAATCCCAGCGCTGTCCTTCCACCCCAGCCCACATCACAGCTGGCAAGAGCAGTGGGCTGCTCTCACATTGAAATGAGCATTCCACGAAATTGATGCATTGGAACACTAAGGAGAATATATTGTCCTGCCAAGAACACCCCATAAAGTGTATTGCTAATGAATAAAGCCACAGTGTTGCCAAGAAAAGGTGTGTACCCCCCAAATTGTGAAAAGAAAAAAACAAAAACACTGAAAATACTTTGTCTTAAACTGGCCCTAGCCAGTAAGTGTTGGAACTTAACACTCCCCTAAGGATCCCCAGCACTGGCTTCCTGGGGTGGAATCTGGGACCCAGCACTACCCCTCTCCCTCTTCCAAACCCATGCCAAGCTCCTCGGCCTTCAGGGGCTGGACGTCCTGGTAATTGCATCAAAGCAATACAGAAAAGCGGGGTGACAAAAGGCCCTGGGGCAGGCATGTACCCCCAGCAGGGAGCTGATCTAGAACCCTCGAGTTGGTGGTCAGGACATGAGTCCGCTGGCTGCTGGGTCTGTGGATCTATGGAGAAGAACGTGGATAACACTCAAAGTGAAAATGCAGGGCTGGCGGTAGCGTGGGGACTCCTGCCTGTGAGTCAGCCCTTAGGAGACTGAGGTAGGGAGGCTGCTGCGACTCTGAGGCCAACATAGGTTAGACAAGTGAACCTGCTTGAGCTATAGTGTGAGACCCTGCTTCAAAGATGGGTGGATATTGACAGACAGACAGACAGACAGACAGATAAATAGACAGATGACGGATGGATGGATGGATGGATGGATGGTACATACATACATATATACATACATCAATAGACTGATAGATACATAGATGGATATAAAAATGTGTCCATATTCAAAATTGCTTCCTACCCTTCCTGAGCCTGACTTCAGCAAACCTCGAGTCTGGAAAAGGGAAAAGTCAAAGTCATAATTTGACCAGTTTTCATTTCTCTAAACCTGAAATGAGTCTGCTATTGCCAGGGCATTATATAATCCCAGGACCTTGTACTGAGTAGAGACTCCCACACCCAGACATGAGAACAACCAATCAACTAGTCCGCTGATCTGTCCATCAAATCACCATGCCTTGGGAAACCAAGAGTTGAAGGATTAGGGAAGTCCTCCTGGAAAGGGAGGGCATCCTAGACCTGCCAGGAAGGAACGGGTGGAGGCTGGCTGCACAGAGGGCGGCAGGCAAGTCTCAGGGAACTTTCTAGAAGCCTGAATGCAGGAACTCCGGGCTGCAGGCTAGGGTGCACAGACTTCACACACGAAGACTGCATCTCCCCCTGGGTGGTTTGCAGGCTGCCTCAGGCACCCAGACTGTGCTCAGTGGGCTGTGGGGATGGGAAAGAGCCAGAGATTTTCATCTCCCAGGTTCTTGGCATCCCAGCTCCCTCCTGCAGAGCCAAGCTCCCTCCAGGGACCGGATCAGAGGAAGCCCCAGGCGGCCAGCTGATTCCTGCTGACCTTTGATCCTTCCTCTTATCTTTCCTCTTCCTGCTCAGCAGCCGGCCCTGTTGCCCGTCAGACCCAGGCTCCAGCAAGAACCCTCAGTCAAGTTCTGGCTTGGGGGGGCGGGGGCGGGAGGCAGAAACGGAGGCTAGGATTCCAGAGAGTCACCCTTCAGCCACCCCATCCATTCGGTGGGCATGGCAGACGCACACTGCCCACCTCCCATCGGGCATATTGCAAGAATAAAAGGAAATGAGGAGTAGGAGAGCAGTCAGGCTGAGCAAAAAGCAACCACCAGATGTCTTGGCAGGACCTGAGTTTGAAGTCAGAGCCCTGGCTTCCAGCCCAGGTGGGTCCCTCGCCAGGCACAGAGCTCTGGGCAAGCGACTTCACAGAGTTCCCCTCTCCAGAGGGAGGGTGCCCTGCCCTGGCCTGCCCGCCTCTCTGGCTAGCATGGATACCAAATGAGATAATGACTGTGAAAATACCCTAAAAAGAATGGATCGGCCCACAGTGGCAGGGATTATCTTTATTATTAAGGAGAGTGATTTCCACAATCCAGAAAAGCTGCCATTAACAAGAAGGGTCCTGTTCATGTTGATTTAATTTCCTGGTTAACTGAGCGTTGGCAGGGAAAAAAAAGAAACATGTTTCAACCCTTATTGGAAATCTTTTTAAATTATGCCAGTTTGCTTTCTGACGCTGGTCATGGTATAGTCTTGAGTCTTTATTTATTAATGAGCTGATTGATTCATATTTTCATTTATTACTCTTGCTCTGAATGTAACCCAGACAGCAGCCATGGACTCGGCCTCCCTCTGCCGGGGACCTTGTCCATTCCTGGGGCTTGAGTTTGGGAGAAACAGAAGCACACACAGAGAGAGCCTATCATGTGCTCTTCCAGGGTCTCGTCGGCCTTTTGATGTTTCCTTAGACTGTGGCTTGAGAGGGTGGCAGGGTTGAGCAAATTTGTCCAGGAACATCTGTGAAGAGGAGTGCTCAGTTTGGATTGGAAAGCTGATGGATGGTTGTTTGCTTGTGATGTGGTCTTTTGTAGCCCAGGCTGGCCTTGAACTTGCTATGTAGCCAGCTCTATATGACCTGCACCTAGTCCTACTGCTTCAGCTCCCACCCAGTATTGACATCACAGCTGTTCAACACCACACCTGACTTGCCATGGTTGTTCTTAACTCGTTCGTGAGGCCTGGCATGGCCAAATAGACAGCCTGTCTCTCCTTCAAGACAGGGGGAAAAGGCCATCTGAAGGCCTTGGAGTCCGAGCTGCGGGTGGCCGAAAGGGGTGCCTGTGTTCCTGGGTTGAATCTGGTGGGGAAAGCCTGACCACTTAAATAGAACCCTCTGGAAGCAAATGTCCTTGAGTCTTTGGGCTAACAGCCCTTTCCGTTCTTAAGCTCTAAAGTGGACTGAAGAAGTGTCTGAGATTCCCAGGGAGGTACAGTGTGACAGGGGCTGTGTGCTGTTTATTCAGGGGACAGTCCCAGGCTGCAGGCAGAGGCTAAGCGGGGAGAAGCAGATCTAAAGGCCTGGTGGCTGCTTTTCCCTTGGCTGCCTACATTAGTGACCTCAATGATTGTGAGCCAGAAACGTTCACTGAGCAGCAAGGGTGAGAAATGTGGGCTAGCCTGGGACCTTGATGCTCTCGGGAGACACAGCTCCATCTCACAGTTGAAGTCCTTGGCTGCATGCTCACGAGCCACTGTGTAGGTCTGAGGTTCTCATCGGGGCAGTGTGGCCTCTGAGAGCCCTGGATAAAGCCAGCAGCCTTCCACAGTTGTCCCAGTGGGAGTAGAATGGCACATGGTGGATAGAGGCCCGGGAAGGTGCCGGCCTCCCCGCAAGTGCTCAGCATGGTCTCCTATGCCGTCTCCTGGTTACAGCCTAGAGTGCCAATGCCACGCAGGCAGTGTGGGGGTGATCTACACCTGCTGTGTCCTCATGTTGCCAGTGTCTGCTCTCCCCACAGAACCCCGACATCGTCCTGGTGCACTACCTGAATGTGCCGGCCATCGAGGACTGTGGCAAGCCCTGTGGGCCCATTCTCTGCTCCATCAACACTGACAAGAAGGAGTGGGCAAAGTGGACAAAGGAGGAGCTCATCGGGCAGCTGAAGCCCATGTGTGAGTACCTCCCTGGACCCCGGTCAGCATTGCCCTGGGGTGCCTTGGGGACCCAGCACAGAGCCTTATTTTGTTCAGACACAGTGACACTTTGAATTTAGCTTTCATGACATTCCCTCTGATGCCTACAGTCACTTGATCCTCATAAGGATTGGTTCCACATTGCAATCAAGGCACAAACCCTCAGACTCAGGCCAAGGAGATGGCTTAATCTGTGGAGCGATGCTGTACAAAGAGTAAGAACCTGAGCTCGGATCCCAGGCCTTCACAGGAAAAGCCAAGAGTGGCAGAGGTGGTGAAGGCAAGTGGCTCCCCGGAAGCTCTCCAGCCAGCTAACCTAGCCTGCCAGGTGAAGTTCCAGGCCAATGAGAAATTTTGTTAAACAAAGAGGTGGGAAATATCCAAGGACCACAATCCCAGGTTGTCCCGTGAGCTCCATGCACACGCAGCCACTCTGAACGCTCACGCCTCCGTCTCACGACAGACGGAGAAGACTCAGAGACACTGACAGAGTAAAGCGGGAGAGAGCAGGCGTTCGTCTACCACACACGGGAGCAGGGTGGGAGACAGGAGGAGGGGCAGTGCAGGGAACAGAATAGCGGCTAGAGCTGGCTGGCCCCGGCTCCCGCCTTTGGCTGCCTGTGCTGGCTCTGCACATGGCAGCAGGCTGCTGGCCCTGGACTGCCACGGTGCCCAGCCTGGTGGCAAATGACTTTCAGTAATTCAGTTGTTTAATTTCGTCGGCAAAACTGAGGTTTCAGCAACATCTGTCAGGTGTGAGTCACTGAGATGGACAGACGTCCGAGGGTCCAGGAAGCTGAGGACCCTTGTTTCCGCAGGTTCTCCCACCCCTCCTGCTCCTCCCAGCTGGACTCAGCCTGACTGAGAAAACCCCAAGGCTGCCCAGCGCTAGGCAGGACCCCACAACCCAGTTACCATTCAGCAAAAGTGGGTCAGTGGGTCACTCGGGAGCAGAAGCATTCTGAGCTAGCCACAGAGAGCTGAAGTTGTTGGGCCTAACAAGGAAGTCACTGAAATATCTTTACCTGTGGGCTGCAAGCTGAAGCTGGGGGTGCTGCCATGACCCACCTCTCCTGAAAGTCTGAGACCCCAGATGTCATCAGCCTCAGACCTGGAGAGGGTCACTAGGGACAAACTGTTATGTATTGGAGGAAGACCCAAAGAGTCCATCCTGGGCTGGGCCTCAGGACAGCACATCCCCTGGGCTGATGTCCCGAGTGCAGTCAAACTGTCTCTGGTACCACAGGTGCCCAGAGGCCGTCAGGATTCAGGATGCATCCCTGACTGCAACTCTAGCTGTGTCTGCCCTGGCTTGAAGCAACTGGCGTAACCCTCATGTCAATAGCAAGCAGTGCCTCCACTTTAGGCCCCTGCCTCAGACCTCTGTACCCCTCCTGAGGCCTTGGGGCAATCATGCCTTTCTCTCCTCTATCTCGCCTCTCCCTGCTTCATCTGTCCATCCTACTTCAGGTTCCTGTTCTCAGCCACTATTTCAGCCCGTGTGCCCTAAGGCCCCTGGTCTCCTCAAAACCCCCAGACAGAAATAAAGCTGCCACCATTATCCAGAGGGGCCATGCAACCTCTCCTTAATTCTACAGAGCAAGGGAGCATGGAAATCCCAGCATACAGTTGGTGCTCAGAAGTGCTTTGGGGTGTAAGCAGAAAGCGACCGTCCTGGTTTTAGCCCAGTGTCTGCAGGACACTGGACAACAGGCCACAGCCTCCAGCATCCAGGCTCTGGGAGATGAGGCTGCTGAAATGTCCCCTCTTGTCTCAGGCTCTGCTCCCAGATGGGCTCCTACTTCTAACTCAGGGCCAGAAGGCCTCAAGGCGTGTCAATAAACACACACAGGGCTCCAACACAACCCCACACGGGGCCCTTGGGCCTCTTTGTCGCTTCTCCTAGGCAGTGTCTTGGATTAGTTGGGGCAGGGACTCTGCCCAATACATACTGGCCAGACAGTAGAAGGAGCCAGAGACGGGACTCAGGAGATAACCCTTGTCCTGGTTCTGTGGCCACCCTGAAGCTGGGATTTGGTTCTGGCTGCCTGTCACTCACAAATGCCAATGAGCAGAATCTAGAGAACTTTGCCTCATTCAGAGAGAGCCTGCAATCGGAGAAGACGGTGGATTAGCTTCCTATAACTCTATCTTCTGTCTCATTTCTAGGCAGCAGATCCTATAAGGTCAGGGAGACAGAGACTGTCAATCACTCTGGGGCTCAGCCCTCTGGTCGTGTGGTCAGCCATGCTTTTGAGGCCTGTGGTGTCTGTGCCCCTCTCCTGCCTTCTTCCCGCCACTTCCTTATCACTTCCAGGGTAAAGACCCTTGGCCTGAAAAGGTGGCAAGAGTCCAAGTGCTTCTGCCCCTGGCCACACCCTCAGTGTTCTGTCTAAGGGCTCCTTGCTCCGAAACCTAGCTAGCAGGACCATTGCTTCCTCCCCTCTGGAACTGTCATCGTTGTCCTCTGGGTCACTGGAAAGAGAGCCATTGGCAAATTAGGCCTATCTGCAGATGACAAGCTCCAGCCAGGCCACCCGGAGCAGATGACTGGGTCCTGGCAGAAGTGTCAGAGACTGTGTGTGCCAGAAGCACACCTGGGACATGCTACCATGGAACCATGTCTGCCAAGCAGACCCTTATGCTCAGGGTCTCTGCCTGGGGCTTCATCGCTAAATGCACACAGATAGCTTCTACCTGAAGCCATCAGTGCCACGCTCCCTGACACCTTGCACAAGGGTGCCACCTCCAGGCCATGCAGGAGGCTCAGGGTCATAAACTCCAGGAGGCAAAAAGACGACTTGATTTGGCTAAGGTTTAACTGGAGGGGATGACGAACGCTTGCTCAGAGCCCGTGGCGCACGAAGGAAGTTATATAAAACCACGAGATGGGGACCAAGAAGTCACAGCACTCAGCGAACTGTGCACGCCCGTCCCGGGCTCTGCTGTGCAGGCTGGCCCTGCCTGGGAACTGATACTTGGAAATGCAGCCCCCATAAGCGCCTAGCTGCTGATCAGACTTGGACAGCACACAGGTGCCAGGCAGCAGTGTTCGGGGAAAGCACTGTGTGCTGAGAGCCAAGAAGCCATCAGATGGGTTCCAGAGTCAGGCATGCCATGAATGCTGGAGCCAAAGGCATTAGCTTCATAAATCACATTCCTTCAAAGACTTCCCTGTCTGGTGCCCTGATGTTTTCCAGTCTCTCTCTCTCTCTGCCCATCAGAGTTGTCAACGGCTTAATCAGAACATGTCACTGATGGGTGGCGGAAGGCCTCTGTCCACACGCGGTCTCTGTCTCGCCTGTCTCAAAGGAGGAGAGGGGCTCCTTGTGCCATCTGATTCTTTGGACTAAAGGGCTTTCCCCTTTACCTGCAGTCTGAGGAGTCCGCACCTAAAGAGCAAACACAGATGGAAATGAGAAAAATGCAGTCCCAACAGGCTTCCGTAGAGCCTCCTGGCTCTTTTAGCCCCTCCTTGCCAAATAACAGTGGCTTAACTAAAAAATAAATATATTTCTCTTTCACTTTAACAAATTTGGCAGGCCAGGGTTGACATGCCGGTCCCCAGTATCTGAAGTTAGCCGCTGTGGTTCCTTCTAGCTGGTTGCTCTGCCAGTTTTAGGTGGTGCCCACTTTTACAGGTTAAAAGTGGCTGCTCCAGCCCTGGCTATCACAATTGCATTCTGATCAACAAAAGGAAGAAAAACGGACAGCAACCCTCTTCCTTTTATGGATAGAGCCTCAAAGTAATACACATCATCCTTACCCCTGTGTTCTTGGGCAAAAGCTTGTGCTATGGTCAGCCGTGGTTGGTGAGGCGTCTGGGGCAGTATGGCGTTCGGCTAGGCGCATTTGGAGTAACGACTCTCTCATGTGAAGCGAGCATGGGGAGGAGTGATGACTTTCTCATGTAAAGCGGGCATGGGGACCCTGTGAGCTTCAGCTTTGCTGGCTTACAGTATGTGGAATTACTCATCTCAGGCCAAAGTCTGGGGATGGCTGTCTGGGGTCCTGTCTGGGGTGGGAGAGAATGGACCCCATCTGCATACAGTCTGTCACATCCTGGAAGTGCTGGGGGTGGGCATCTACTCCCTTACAGCTGTTCTGGAGTTAAGGGCTGGACCGCAGGCAAGACTCTGGCTCTTGGTCCTTCCAGCTTGCTGGGAAATTTGTTCAGTGGCCCAAAGCCACCACCACCATGGCCCAGATCTCACACTCTCAGCTTCTGTGACCCAATGGGGAGCCAGATAAAACTGGTTCCCATAGGGAACCCATGGCTTCCTGCCCTGTCCCACTTCCTGGCTGCCCATCCAGAAAGAGCATGCCAGCCTCTCCCCAGCTAGCAGTCTGTGGAATGTAGCAGCCAGAGTGACGGGCAAGGGCTTTGCACTGCAAAAGTAGCAACTGTGCATAACTGCCTTTATCTGGGGGTTCCTTTTGGGGAACCCTGGATGGCCAGATGGCCTTGCAGAGAAGCAAGGGCCTGAGCTTTCTGCAGGATTCCACCCCCCTAGAGAGCATTACACGGTTCCAGCCTTCAGCCAGCCCAGCTTTGCCCGCCCCACTGTCTTCTGGGAACCCCATCATGTCACTGTGGGCCCATAGATGACCACGGCAGGTATCTTTGGCGACAATAGGAAGGCCAAGTAGGAAAGTTGCCTGGAAAAACAGTCTAGCCTAGGACAGCAGCCACCTCACACCCCCACTGCTCCTGCATGTCCCATAATGCCATGCATACCTGCACACATAGGAACCCACATGCACACAGCACCCTCGGCTCCTTGAATACACATAAACCGGGACACACGCCCAAGCTCAGTAAGAGGAAGGCTTGGTTCCGGACCCTGTGACCTCTGAAACTTTTCTCCAAAAACGCCCCCACCTCGTGGCCTAGGAGTCAAGGCCCAGGGTACTCTGGTACACCAGCAATAGGACACGCATGGTGGCTGTGATGGCAAGGGGAAGCCGTGTAAAAGGAT